GAATATATATATATATATATATATATATATATATATAAAATGCATTTTACAATGAATGCAGTAGGCAGGCTAAGCACACGTGACGCGCCATTCCCGCATTTGTGCCCGCTTGCTCCTCATGTTTGCGGCTGAATGCAAATGATCATTATTCATGGACAACTATACCTGTGGAAAGACATCAGCAGTCAGAGAACAGAAAAAGAAAAAAAGATGAAGCCCGTGCATCACTTTCAGGTACATTCATCCTGTGAAACGATTTTGGCTGTTGACATTAATAATGTGTTTTAATGTCGGTAATAATTTAACCACTAACAACGTTTCCATGTTCCGTGTTAGCCATGGTTTTACTACGAATAAAACCAAAAATAATTTTTGTAGCCATGGTAACCACAAATTAACCATGGTTTTGTTACTTCAAATAATAAATAATTGCTTAATTTTCTTTTGCATGATTTCTGAATGCTTGAAATTATAAAATCAAGCAGACAACTGTATCAATAAAATCAAAGCTATAGGTAACTACAAGTTTTGGTTTAAAATTATCACTACCAAAACAGTCACTACCGAAACATTTGGTGCAGTTTCGGTAGTGACATATTTTTTTTTACATTTATTAATTTAACAGACTTTTATTCAAAGCAACTTTTTTGGGTGTTTTGGGAGTTATCCCATAAAATTATCCCTACCAAAACAGTCACTACCGAAACATTTGGTGGAGTTTCGGTAGTGACATCTTTGTTTTGGTAATGACAATTTTATGGGAACACCCTAAAAAACAGTCACCTTCTGAAACATTTGGTGGAGTTTTGGTAGTGACATCTTTGTTTTCTTTTTGGGTCTTACCCGATAAAATTGTCACTACCGAAACAGTCGCTACCGAAACATCTGGTGGAGTTTCATTGGTGAAATCTTTGTTTTGGTAGTGATAATTTTATGGGATAACTCCCAAAAAACAAAGATTTCACCACTGAAACTCCACCAAATGTTTCGGTAGTTACTGTTTTGGTAGTGATAATTTTATGGGTAACTCCCAAAAAACAGTCACTACCGAAACATTTGGTGGAGTTTCAGTGGTGAAATCTTTGTTTTTTGGGAGTTATCCCATAAAATTATCACTACCAAAACAAAGATTTCACCAATGAAACTCCACCAGATGTTTCGGTAGCGACTGTTTCGGTAGTGACAATTTTATCGGGTAAGACCCAAAAAGAAAACAAAGATGTCACTACCAAAACTCCACCAAATGTTTCAGAAGGTGACTGTTTTTTAGGGTGTTCCCATAAAATTGTCATTACCAAAACAAAGATGTCACTACCGAAACTTCACCAAATGTTTCAGAAGGTGACTGTTTTTTAGGGTGTTCCCATAAAATTGTCATTACCAAAACAAAGATGTCACTACCGAAACTCCACCAAATGTTTCGGTAGTGACTGTTTTGGTAGGGATAATTTTATGGGATAACTCCCAAAACACCCAAAAAAGTTGCTTTGAATAAAAGTCTGTTAAATTAATAAATGTAAAAAAAAATATGTCACTACCGAAACTGCACCAAATGTTTCGGTAGTGACTGTTTTAAACCAAAAATAATTTTTGTAGCCATGGTAACCACAAATTAACCATGGTTTTGTTACTTCAAATAATAAATAATTGCTTAATTTTCTTTTGCATGATTTCTGAATGCTTGAAATTATAAAATCAAGCAGACAACTGTATCAATAAAATCAAAGCTATAGGTAACTACAAGTTTTGGTTTAAAATTATCACTACCAAAACAGTCACTACCGAAACATTTGGTGCAGTTTCGGTAGTGACATATTTTTTTTTACATTTATTAATTTAACAGACTTTTATTCAAAGCAACTTTTTTGGGTGTTTTGGGAGTTATCCCATAAAATTATCCCTACCAAAACAGTCACTACCGAAACATTTGGTGCAGTTTCGGTAGTGACATATTTTTTTTTACATTTATTAATTTAACAGACTTTTATTCAAAGCAACTTTTTTGGGTGTTTTGGGAGTTATCCCATAAAATTATCCCTACCAAAACAGTCACTACCGAAACATTTGGTGGAGTTTCGGTAGTGACATCTTTGTTTTGGTAATGACAATTTTATGGGAACACCCTAAAAAACAGTCACCTTCTGAAACATTTGGTGGAGTTTTGGTAGTGACATCTTTGTTTTCTTTTTGGGTCTTACCCGATAAAATTGTCACTACCGAAACAGTCGCTACCGAAACATCTGGTGGAGTTTCATTGGTGAAATCTTTGTTTTGGTAGTGATAATTTTATGGGATAACTCCCAAAAAACAAAGATTTCACCACTGAAACTCCACCAAATGTTTCGGTAGTTACTGTTTTGGTAGTGATAATTTTATGGGTAACTCCCAAAAAACAGTCACTACCGAAACATTTGGTGGAGTTTCAGTGATGAAATCTTTGTTTTTTGGGAGTTATCCCAATTATAAAGATGTCACTACCGAAACATTTGGTGGAGTTTCGGTAGTGACATTTATTTTACATTTACATTTAATTTAGCAGACTCTTTTATCCAAAGCAACTTTTTTGGGTGTGGATGTAAATGTAAAAAACAAAGATGTCACTACCGAAACTCCACCAAATGTTTCGGTAGTGACATCTTTGTTTTTAAATTTAAATTTATAATTATTCATTTAGCAGACACTTTTATCCAAAGCAACTTTTTGGGTGTTACCCCATAAAATTGTTACTACCAAAACAGTCACTACCGAAACTGCTAGTGGAGTTTCGGTAGTGACATTTTTTTTTTTAAGTTTACATTTCATTTAGCAGACGTTTTTATCTTAAACTACTTTTTTTTGGGTGTAAATGTAAATGTAAAAACAAAGATGTCACTAACGAAACGCCACCAAATTTTTCAGTAGTGACACCTTTGATTTTTACATTTACATTTATTCGTTTAGCAGACGCTTTTATACAAAGCGACTTTTTTGGGTGTTATCCCATAAAATTATCACTACCAAAATAGTCACTACTGAAACATTTGGTGGAGTTTCGGTAGTGACATCTGTTTTGTTTTTTTCGGTGTTATCCCATAAAATTGTCATTACTGAAAAAGTCACTACTGAAACATTTTGTGGTTTCGGTAGTGAAATCTTGTTTTTTGGGAGTTATCCCAATTTTATGGGATAACACCCAAAAAACAGTCACTGCCGAAACAGTCACTACTGAAACATTTGGTGGAGTTTTCGGTAGTGACATATTTGTATTTTACATTTACATTTACATTTAGTCATTTTGCAGACGCTTTTATCCAAAGCGACTTACAATTTGGGGATACATAAAGCGATTCTTCTTAAAGAGGCAAACAGATACAGGAAGTGCTTGTAATACCAAGTTTCTAGACATTGTTCAAATAAGTATTTACATCTACATTTACATTTAATCATTTAGCAGACGCTTTTGTCCAAAGCGACATTTTGGGAGTTATCCCATAAAATTGTCACTAACGAAACAGTCACTACCGAAACATCTGGTGGCGTTTCAGTAGTGATTTTTTTTAACGTTTACATTTCATTTAGCAGACGCTTTTGTCCAAAGCGACTTTTTGGGTGCTTTGGGTGTTATCCCATAAAATTATCACTACCAAAACAGTCACTACTGAAACATTTGGTGGAGTTTTTGGTAGTGACATTTTTGTATTTATATTTACATTTACAGTAATTCATTTAACAGATGCTTTTATCCAAGGCGACTTTTATGGGTGTTTTGGGTGTTATCCCATAAAATTATCACTACCAAAACAGTAACTACTGAAACATTTGGTGGAGTTTCGGTAGTGAAATCTTGTTTTTTGGGAGTTATCCCAATTTTATTGGATAACACCCAAAAAACAGTCACTACCGAAACATTTGGTGGAGTTTTCGGTAGTGACATCTTTATATTTACATTTACATTTATTCATTTAGCAGACGCTTTTGTCCAAAGCGACTTTTTGGGTGTTATCCCATAAAATGATCACTACCAAAAAAGTCACTACTGAAACATTTGTAGGAGTTTTGGTAGTGACATATTTGTTTTTTGGGAGTTATCCCATAAAATTGTCATTATCGAAACAGTCTCTACCGAAACATGTGGTGTAGTTTCGGTAGTGACATTTTCTTTTTTTACATTTACATTTATTAATTTAGCAGACGCTTTTATCCAAAGCAACTTTTTTGGGTGTTATCCCATAAAATTGTCACTACCGAAGCAGTCACTACTGAAATGTTTGGTGCAGTTTCAGTAATGATATATTTGTTTTTTGGGAGTTATCCAATAAAATTGTCACTACTTAAACAGTCACAACCGAAACATGTCATCATCGTTTCGGTAGTGACAAAAGGGAACACATAATCCTCATATTTGGGGGAAATAAACTAAATTTTAGTAGTTATGCAATTTTTTTAGTATGTTTTAGTAGCGCTTTAGTATGCAAATTAAAATTCTGTAATGAGATGTGGTTGCTACAAAAGCATTACTGTCACTACCGAAAATGTGCAGTCACTACCGAAACATGGGATGTTTTGTCAAAAATAAAGTATACTGAATTATCAGCTAAAATGTTATGATATTGTTTGGTTCAATGTATATTCAAACTAATGAATCCTTGACTTTGAAATCAGTATGATAAATTTTTTGCCTTTTACAAAGAAAAATTGGGTTCAAAATACAACAAATCTCATAAATACAATTGAAATATTGTTAAAAATGTAATTGTTATTCATTTAATTTTAAAATTCAAGAATTTTTTTTTTTTTCATAAAATAGCAAAAATATTTACAATGTAGATGTAAGCAAAATCTTAATAGGTCAATATAACCCTTCTAATTCAATTATTATTACTTTGTTTCGGTAGTGACAAATATGGGGAGAGGACAACATTCCAAAACTTTCTGAAGATGCAATATGAGAATTAACTGCACAATTACTAGAAATGTGTACCTTGGATATTATACAATTTGCATACATACACATTTTTTTGGAAAAAATACATTTTTTCAAGACGTTTTCAACTCTGACTTTGAACCTATATATATATATATATATATTAGCAAAAAAAATGTTTCATTTTTTGAAGGAAAAACATCTCAGTTTTATTCAGAGACTCAAACTGAGCAAAAATATGAATTTTCTGCAAATGCTGATATTTATATGCTGAAATTCTGATGCTTGTGATGTAAATCAATGAGATCTTTATTTTATGTCAGTATCTGCTGTACTGTTATAATCTAAACATCAGTGGTGGCTCTATATCTCCAGTAATCTGTCTCAGTAAGATGAGATTGAAATGCTCCAAACATATAATGCAGTGATTGAGAGCTGAAGAAATAAAGGCTCCTCAGAAGATGTGAGATGTTCTGGAGGCTTGTGAAGATCATTCCTCCGCTGAGGAACAGTGAAAGTAAAGCTTCTGGAAACAAACGCTCCTCAAAAGATCCTGAGGATCAGATTTGAGACTCTAAAACATGATTGATGGAGAATCAAGTAAAGCTGAGCTGCTTCAGTCCAGGGAGTGGAGATGTGACTGAGTTATTGTGGCGTCTGCAGGCATCAGGAGAGCGGTGCTCTGAAGTCCTTCTCGTCTCTGCTGGCGGTGGCGTCGGATCTGGGCCGGCTCCGCTCCGTCAGGCTGGTGTGGAAGGGAGATCTGGTCTGGTCCAGCTGGATGAGGTGCGTCAGGAACATCTTGAGCTGGAACAGCTCCGATCAGGACACTGAGCTCAGTGTCTGGAGGATCTGCATCAAATCAGGAGAGAGTCAGGAGAAGTGAGTTTCTGTTTCTACTGAATACTGTCTGTCAAACACTGAATCCACGAGGAGTCCTCATATTCTCAGTTGCTTTAGCAATTGCATACATTTGAAATATCATATATAATTTAAAAGCATTTGAAATATATTTTGCCCTCCATATATTTCTGTCAAAAAATACATTCACGTCATATTTGAAGAAAAAAATGTATATATATACTGTATACAGTGGTGGCCTAAATGATTAGAACACTAGTATTATCAGCAGCTAAAAATGCTTTTAAGTCAGTTATTTCTATCTTTTGCTGTAGTGTGTCAGTAGGAAATATCAGCTTACATTTCCAAACATTCATTTAGCCATTAATTGTAATAATCAGTGAGATTTTAGTACTCCACACAGAGATCTGAGCCTTGAACCGTTAACAGCTCCGTAGCTTTGCAGGAAGGTTTCTTGAAGCATCTTGGAGACACGGTTCTTCTTCAAAACACTTCAGCATGTTGTCAAGAAGCAGTGTGCATTTCATTAGCAATTTCTTCACTTTTTTTCACTGACAAAATTGAGACGATAGTCTTTGTCATTCAAAACTTTTCAGAAGCTGATGAAAATCTATTGAAAATGTTCGGCATTTAATAAAAATACAGAATAAAGAAGACATTTTAGAGAAATAATGCATTACAGTTTAGCTAAATTTAGATTTATAAATGTACTGTAGATTTAGTCGACTAATCTCATAATCTTTACTAACACTAGACTAAAACACTATTCAGATGACTAAAATTAAATGGCTTTTTAATCAAAATTGACACTAAGAATTCTTAATGTATGGGAAACTGATCAAAACGAAGTGCGTTTATGATTAAAATAAGAACAAATATCTGTCACTTGGCTCAAAAAAATCAGCTTCATCAAATTTTCATTCCCCACTGACTGATATTTGTTAGTTTTAATCATACACAACATTCTGTTCAGTTTTTCCAAGACTTCATATCATCATTTTTAAGGATTTTTAGATATTTGAACTGGAAAACAAACACATTTGTTTTGTAATTTGTGCAACATTAAGCATGAATGTAAGGCTTTCTGCTGATTTGAGGAACTGATGCTCAGATGATGGAGGGCTAGACTGTTAAACACTAGATCACACGGGCTCTGATTGATCGTGGCATCAGCTATTGATCATGTATCAGGAACAGCCCAGCGGTCATTGGCTGGAAATAGGAAGTTCATCCCACACTGAGATAACTGTAGGCCGGCATGTTTGACGTTCAGTTTACATCAAATCACGTCATGTCAAGTTTTTGACGTCAGTTTAAGTTGCATATGTGACCTGTTTTTTGACGTGAACCTGATGTCTTTTCGATTGGCTTCTGGAAGCAGTCAACATGAAGCAAAGCATTCGCTTAAACCGATGAGAAGCCGTTTATGACGACGTGATCAGATGATGTGCAGAGATCTAACAAATGCAGCAAAGCCTCTGAGAAAAACTGATGTTAATGCATGCTCTGAAGACATTGCTGTGAACCCTTAAGCCAAGTTTAACTATATATGATGATTATTTTCTCATGAAAGAAACTGTTCAGTAACGCAGAAGTTCTGAAAATACAGATCACAGCAGTCCAGTTCAGTTTGCTTCTTCATTACAATTATAAAAGAGTATTATTTGTGACCCTGGAGCACAAATGCAGTCATAAGCAGCACAGGTATATTTGTAGCAATAGCCAACAATACATTGTATGGGTCAAAATTATACATTTCTCTTTTATGTCAAAAATCATTAGGATATTAAGTAAAGATCATGTTCCATGAAGATATTTTGTAAATTTCCTACCGTAAATATATCAAAACTTAATTTTTGATTAGTAATATGCATTGCTAAGAACTTCATTTGGACAACTTTAAAGATGATTTTCTCAATATTTAGATGTTTTTGCACCCTCAGATTTCAGATTTTCAAATAGTTGTATCGCAGCCAAATATTGTCCTATCCTAACAAACCATACATCAATGGAAAGATTATTTATTCAGCTTTCAGATGAAGTATAAATCTCAAACTCACAAAATTGACCGTTATGACTGGTTTTGTGGTCCAGGGTCACACTGATTTGTAAGAAGGGTATGTTTCCTCATCTCTCTGTTCAGGACGTGGTTCTGCGGCGTGTCCACTGGAGGCTCTCGTCTCAGGATCTCGGAGCAGCAGGAGTTCACACGCTGCCGGATCAAACATCAGAACGCTAACAGCAGCGCTTCAACCCAGTCTGTTTATTAATGCAGTTCAAGTACTCCAAAAAAATTACATCTCTTTGCACAATACGTTCTGAAATGTTACGTAAAAATTTTCAAAGTGAACAAAAATTTAGGTACTGTATAAAACACAGTGAACATTAACAGACAGTATTAATCTTTTTGTTTTTTGTTCTGGTTTTTCATTCGTTTCTCAATTTTAGTGTTCGGCCTATTTTCACCTACGACATCTGGACTCGATTAAGATGTTTTTTCAGTGCACTTTTCCTCTATGAAATTTCACCAAGACTATGTAAAAATGAAAAAAAGTCAAATACAGGCAAATATTCTCCGATCCAGACCGCCGCGAAACCACCGAGCCGGGTTTCTTCCTCGCAGATGGCAGTACGGTGCGGTCGGCCTGGACTCACAAACGCTAAAACAAAAGAACAGTATCAAAACCAACAGAAATCCTCCAGTTACTGTACAGAGTTCATATGAGAGACCAGTCCGTCTCCACGATGATGATGATGAAGGTGTGTTTCTGTCAGAGTCTGTAAACTAAACGTGCTAATGTGACCGCGAGAATCCTCCGCTTTCCCATGATGCTCAGTGACTGCAGTCTTCTGAAGTGATTGTACCTTTCTGCAGGTTTCTTCATGATCGTACTGTTAAACACACATTAATCTCAAGTCTGCGCTGCTCTTCATGCACACATTCCTCATCAGTGGAGTGTGGTGAATGTGAGTGTATGGCAGGCCATTTTAACATTTAATCCTTACAACATACTAGCATCTACTCGCACACTGCTAGTACTTATTCTTTAGCTAGGAGTACCTCTTAAAAAAAAGATAACAGTACCTATTCATTAGATACTAGTACACACTTATTAGATACTAGTACGAATTCCAAATGCTACTGGCAAGATTTTTCATTTTACTAGTAAGATTTTTAATTGAGCTCTACAGTGGCCATTCTGACTAGTTAAAACAGAAAACGAGTTAAAAAAAAATTGTGACTATTAAGGTAAGAACAGTTACTAGCAACAATTACAAAAAGACGTGTCTAAAAAATAAGTACCTAAAACTAGTGACTAACAAATAACTAAGTATGTACTAGTATCTATTGAATGCTTACTAGTACTATTTAAAAACATGAGTCACATTATGAATGCATACTAGTCAGAACTGAAGTTAATATCTGAATGACAGATCCCCATAGAAGTGGCAACAATCTGAAATGTGCTACTAGGAACAACATAATAGTTACTAGTCACCACTGAAATAGGTACTAGTAACCTTTTAAAGATAACAGTATTTATTAGATACTAGTACTTAAATAATAATATACCTAGTACCTAAAGAATAAGCACTAGCAGCTAATGAATAAGTACTAGTATCTTATGAATAAAAATTAATACCTTTAAAAAGTAGTACCTAAATAGTACCTAAATAATAAGCACGGGTAGCTGAAGAGGTTTTGAGGATTAAATGTTGAACGGGCTTGCCATAGAGGTGTGGAGCTATATACAAACAAACACGAACGCACACAGAATGAAGCATGTAAACGGCGGACTGACGCAGAGCCGCCTCCTTCGTTAGCGTTTTTGAGTCCTGAGTGTTGTCAACAAAACTGTAACTGTAAATTTCTTATCGACAGTAGAAGAAATAATCTGTTCTCACATATAATACAGTTAATATCGTTTCTCTATACAGCCGCGCGTCTGCGGAAAAGGGAAGGCGAAACGTTTCTGCTCTTACAAAATAAAAGTCCTTTTCCGTGCTTAAGCTCCGCACGAATCCTTAAAAAGATGTTTGATATCAAACCAGGAGTCTTGAGAGGAGTTCATGAAGGACGACAGGAGATGCTCTATCTACAAATACCCCGGTAAACCTTGGCACTCGAGGGTAAAACAGAGAAATGATGTGAGGACAGAAGTCTGAGGAAGCGTTATGGACTGGTGGCTCCTGTAAAGAGGCTCTCAGCGTCTCATCTGGCCCATCTGGTAGTTCTCCCGGGGCTGGCGCTGGCGCTGGGCCTGGCGTGGAGCGGGCCGCTGGTTCTGGTGAGCGTGCTGGTGCTGGTTCTGGTTCTGGTTCTGCTGCTGCTGCTGCTGCTGCTGAGCTCGTCGTCTCTTCAGAGTACCTGCACCAGACAGACAGAGAGAGAACGACTCTTCAGCATCACACAAACACACGGCCTTCACCTCAAATACTAATTTCTGAGACCACAGACCAAAACATCCAACAAAATCATGTTCTTTTACTCCTGACCGTAGTCAAACCAAACCAACGGAAACTCTTCAGCTGATAATATACTTTGACTATGGTCAGAAGTAAATGAACATTTTCAACTGATTGGGATTATAATAATACTATTTACAGGGATAATGTTTATTATTGGGATATAAACAATTATATGCATCACTATTATTATTATTTCTAAGGTAGAAATACATTAGTATTGTAATACTGTAAAATATTCTGAAAAAGGGCATACAAATTTGAATATATCTCTTTAAATATTATTATTTGTATTACTATTATTATTTCTAAGAAATAAACACTACTATTATAATACAACCACAGTGTTAAATAAAATATTAATTGAAAAGAATATTGTTTTTGTTGAAAAACACACAAAAATAAGTTTATTTACTTTTGACTAAAAATCAAAGTATTTAGATTTTCATATAAAATGAAGCTCTGATTGGGATAATAATAATAATAATATCCCAATAATAAACTTTATATTCTACTAAATAGATTTATTATTATTATTATTTCTAAGATGAGTATTGTAATTAGTATTGTACAACTACACTAAAATTAAAAAATGAAAATTTTATAAGCATTTTTTTTTTATACTTATTATTGTAATTTTACAATACTTATAGTTAATTTCTTCAATTGTATGAGTTCAAGGTTTTATTTTGGCAAAAAACTGCAGGGAGACCTTTACGTTTCTGACAGGAGTTTTACAAACGCATCTCGTTACAAATCTACATGCATGAAAGCGTGAACTGCTGTAATCATCTGTCCACAAACAGCATAACCTCGCAGCACATGCAGAGATTGAGTTTGCTGCATTTACTCTGAAGTGAGATGTGAAAGCACTGGATATAAACACTTGAATACAGCGCTTCACTCTGGATCTGGTGTATCCATACTGCAAAAACCCCCACTGACTCTGTTTCAAACGTCTCAGTACTGGACTGTGAGGAGATACGTTACCTGGCAGAGGTTTAGGAGGAGGCAGTTTGGGGTTGCTGCTGGGCGTGTGAACACTGCAGATCTTAATGAATCCGGCCATCAGCATGATGAGAGCGATTCCCATCAGCAGAACTGCCCACCAGTGAGCCTGAGACACAGACACAGAATAAACACACGCTCCGAGAGATAAACACAGAATAAACACTCTCAGAAACAAACACAGAATAAACACTCTCGGACACAAACACAAAATAAACACTCAGACATAAACACAGACACACACACACACAGAATAAACACACACACACGATCGGAGATGAAGGGACACGCACCACGATCCACTCTGCGATGTTCTCGTACAGCTCCGGGTTGAAGATGGCCTTCTTCAGGCGTGCCAGAGGACCGTCAGCGTCCACCAGACGGCACTTCATGAAGACGTCGCAGTAGCCCTTGAAGTCGTTGCAGGGTGAGCCGGCCTGAAGAGTAGTGACCTTCTTATTGAAGAAGCGGGCGAGACGCTCAGAGCCCGTGCTGCTGCAGGTGCTGGGGTTCACTGCGGAGACAGGTTTGCATTGTGAGAACAGTTTCTGATTTAAACTAATGAAGTGTGTTGTGAGTAGGGGAGTATCTTTAATTTAAGCACAGTTATTTAATTCAGTGGTGTTTATTACACAGCTCTCTATGATATGTGGTTCTGATTGGTCAATCGCAGCATTTAGTAATCATATATTCACTGAAAAAAACACAATCCTGTTTCATACAAATGCAACTGGCACCATCTTGTGTTTCATTTAGTAATTGCACTGAAAAAAGAAATAATAAATGAATGCAATTTACAGTATCATTCTCCAAACATTCCTGTGTATGCATAATATCTCCAAAACAAATATGAACTTGATTAAAAATCAGTGTTCTCCAATTTATGGATAATACAGGAATCTGAACTAGGTAGCATGACCTGGTTCTGGTAATTATAATAATCCTATATTATTATTATTAATCATCAATTGATTATGAAATTGTGTCGTGTTAAAGCATTCTGAATCTTGATGGAAATTAAGCTACTGTGAGAAGAGAGACGTGTAAGAAATTACAGTAATATGCAACGTAGAATTATTTGCAGTGTTTTAAACAGGGTTTTGGCAGGTTTTGTTCAATTTAAGTGTTTTTAAAGACCTTTTTAAGAAAGAACCTAAAAGGAATAAATTAAGGGAACACAATCTGTCATTATGTTTTCTTAATGAGTTGTATTAGTGGCACTTCAAAGTTTGAAAATACAACTTCCAACAGATCTCTTTTACTTTTTAATTCATTAAAAAATAGCTCAGCTAGAACATTAAAACAACTTCTACTGTATCTTCTGATCACACTGCAAAAAGTGCTGCTCTTCTTCAGTATTTTAGTCTTGTTTGTCAGTGCAAATGTCTGAATGCATATGATAATAAATAATAACAGGCTCAGAAAAATCTACTTAATTCAAAGAGAAACAAGTTTTCATTCCTCATTAGCAGATATTTGTTCTTGTTTTAATAATAAACTCACTTCATTATGCTTAGAAAACTAGACTTCTTCATTTTGCATCTCCAGTAAACGCATCTTGAATTAAGGATGTTTAGATATTTGAACTTTAAAACAAGACAAAAATACTGAGGAAGATGTCATTTAATGCCGTGACTTCATGAATTTCAGACGTTCAGCTCTCTTATTTTTTAGAAGCATGCATTGAGACTGTTAAAGACCTGCAGGACCCCTGTCTGAGTGTGCATATGATATTGGTGATATACATCACAATCTGAAGCTCTGTACTGACTTCTCTCCATGCAGCACACGTGGCAGAGCTCGGTCTCGTCTTTGCCGTCCATGCTGGCGCAGGTGCAGACCTCCAGCCCGTACTTCTCACAGATGGAGCCAGAGCAGCCCTGAAACACAGAGAGCAGGAGTGAGACGCTCCGTCACACCAGGGCTGTGTTCGGTACATCGATACCACGATGTAACGGCAGAGATTTGACGATACGAGTATTGATATACAGCTGTCTCAGTATCGATATCACGGCACATGCACAGCAGTGGACTGTGCTTAATTTGAACACCTTTAAAATGGAGTAGAAAAGTGCAAGGTTTCTGAAAAATAATGAATAGAGTATAATATATTGGCTACAACAAGGTTTAATCTGGCCACAGAGGAACACAACCGGGGTTTGCCTGATATAAAGAGACGTAATCCCCGAAACAGAGACTCACACTTGCGCAATACAGAATTATCTCCAAGTACGCACGCTCTCTCTCCACTTAACGCGCTTGCTTTCTGAAAACACCGGTTAGCTTGCAGTTCAGCGATCTCCACTTCAATATTCTATTCTCAGAAAAGTGTAATTCATCAACTGTTCATTTATGAGAGAGAGAGAGAGAGGCTGTGTATGTATGAATTACCACCGTTTTGCTGCGTTTCTCTATTAACAGTGAAGCTGTGGCTTTAACTACTTTAGAAACAATGATGTTACCAGCTACTTGTTGAGAAAGATAATGTAGCTCTTCAGCGGTTAAGCTATTTTATTGATAAAATTGTGGGCAGCACTGAGAAGTTTCTGAGTTGCTGAATGTGCTTGAGCTACAGTGAAGACAGCGCATTAGTTTAGAACGCTTCTAATTTTTTTATTTATTTTTTTTTTAAGCACAGAGAGTGTGTAAATTTGTGCAATGATAACCTACCAGCAATGTAAAGATGATTTTTTTTTAATAAATCAGCCTTGTGTGCGTTAGATACAGTGAAAACAGCACGTTAGTTTAGAACTCTTCTCATTTTTTTTTTAATCGTAGAGAGTGTGTTAATTTGTGCAATGATAACCTACCAGCAATGTAAGTGATTTTTTTTAAATATTAGAATGAGTACATTACAATATAAGAGTACATTATTATTTGTGGGCCTAAAAACAAGATGCAAACAATCAGAATATTGTACCTGGTGGAGAGTGCCCAATATTAACATGAAACATACGCCATTACTTATATAGTATCCTGCTATGTTACAGTTATGGAGGCCCTTCATAATGCAGAGGTCAACTGCCTGTTCTGCTAATAGTCAGCAATGACCCTGTAGTATGCAGTGTTAAATAAACAGCTGTTTACTGAATTCTGCTGAGGTGAAATTCAGTGCAGTCCTGTATCGGCATTCTTATCGTATCATGACTTTGCTGGTGATACACAGCCCTATCACACACACACTCACACTCACACACACACACACACACACACACACACACACACCCACTGTTGCGTTTATAATTTTGTTCAGTGTAGTATTATTGTTTCATATTTTAATTATCATTAAAACCATATTCAATTACTGCGATTTGAACAACTGAGGATACATAAATACTGTCCAGCATTAGGCATAGTATTCAGTGACAGTGTCAGGTGCGCACAGCAGCAGAGTAGTTTCATTTTTGTGTGAAAATATGGAGGAACGCTGGGAGGTTTTATAAGAGTGCTAAGGGAATTATACAAATTAATATGAATTAATTAATTATATGTAACTCTGAAGGTTCTGACTGTCTTCAGAAAAAATTAGATGGCATTTTGTTTTCACCTTCGCTCCATGTAATACCTAATAAACTAGTGTTCTTTACGGGAAACAGCTGTAATTCTGCTGCTCCATCAGCACCACCTGCTGGCAGAGAGTGGATTTACAGAGACTCACATTTTGTGTGCAGTTTATGTCTGGACTAAAACCAGATCAGCTTTGCATGCCCTGCTGTAAATTTTGACTGGTTGATGAAAAACAAGCTTATGTGGATTCTACACATTTAAACAATTCAGATAAGGTATTTATAGAATTATTTATGGAGCAGATAAAATACAGATAATCATTTATTTATCAGTTATCATTTTGACTTAACCCTTTTCTTTATTTAAAGGCTGAAATGTGAGCTTTACCATTTTATTAAACTTTTTCAACGTGTTATTTGAACATTTCGTACATGTTATTAGATAAACTGCTGTCAGTCGTGTTGTCATTTAAAATACGGCCATCATTGGTAATGTTATTGTTTTAGTGTTTATGCAAACAAAAAGTCATTTTATGTGTTGATTTTAAATATAAAATTTGGTGAAGTGATTTATGTGTCAGTAGTTTTTGAACATTTCCAGCACATGTTAACGATACCGTGATAATACTGATAACCGTGATAATTTAGGTCACTATAATGGTGATATGAAGTTTTCACAGCGCTGCGGATCACTCACCCCGTTCAGGCAGACCTGCGTGTCCCCGTGGCAGGCGGTGAAGTTGGCTTTGGGCTCTGAGGTGGGGCACTGGGCCGAGGCGCCGTTACACATGCCCTGATGAGCGCACTCAGACTCCTCGCGACACTTCTCATTCCGGCCCTTGTAGGAGCACTCGGCCGTGCAGCAGGGGCCCTGACTCGGACTGCACACACACAGCAAATCAACACATCCAGGCGTCATACACATGCTTACAGTGAACTTCCACGACTTCTCACACAATCTTCATGACCTAATGTTCTGCTACTTTACAATAACAATAAAAATCTGCTCAAATTTATCATAGCATGTTTACTAAAATGAATGACTATTAATGCTACTTCTTTGTTTTCTAGTTGTTTTACTAAGTGCAAGCTGCGATTGCGCCAGACGTTACTCCATGCAGAGAACATTTCATCACATCACTGAATATTGTAATTTAACCAATATTATGAGTTAAACTCAGGACCTGAATTTCATTTTGGAAACTATTTCGGTCTAACAGTAGAATTCAGGTACAAAAACATACAAAAATTGAATAAACTATAAAATAAAAAACTGATTAAAGTTTTAAAAGTTATTCAGTCAAGAGCAGTGCATGATTTTCTGTGTTTTGTTGTTTGATAATTATTAATGACAGTCAGCACAAGTTTATTAATGCTGCACCTGACCCGTGTCCGAGGCACTCTTAGAAGTTTTGGACCCAAACCCGCTCGGGCCTTGGGTTTTGGATCCAAGTGGACGCGTGAAGACCTCTACCCTGAATAGGGCCTTTTGCACCGCGGGAACCTTTTCATAGTACCAGAACTAATTGTGGAACTACCCACTTTTTGGCGTTGTGGCACCGCCGAAACTGGGTGCGATTTTAGTACCGGACTGCCTTTTTCGAGAACCAAATTAGCTCCTACTCCGGAGCAGGGTCTAACCAGCACAACTGGTACTAATCGTGACGTAAGTAGACATTGATTGGCCAAACGTGTATGGAAACGCCCTCACCCGCCATGATTTAAAACGCTGTGTAACCATACTGTAAACGTGTCAACTTATTTCGCAAGTATGGAGAACAGCGATAGATGGACGGACGCTGAAGTGCAGGCACTTGAAGCAAATGCAGCACTGCCAGTTGTTGTTGGAGATTCTTAGTCCTCCTTTCCGTTCTTTCAATCGCTTTACGTATACGTCGACTTTCCATGTCCATTATTGTGAAACCCGCGAGACACAACAAAAACACAGCTCCGATCACAGCGTCCTCCATCCTCCTGTTGTTAATGTTGTTCTTCTGTTTCCGTTGTTGAACGCCACGCACAAATGACGATGCTGTCGACCGGCTTACATCACTTCTTAGTACACATTGTCGTGCGAATGCAACCCTTTAAATGGTACTGGGAAATAGTTCGCGCAAAATCGTCCCAGTACTTTAGTACTGTACATTTAGTTCTGGAACTAAAGCGGTGCGAAAGGCCCTAATATGGATCACGCTGGAGAAACACACTGAGCGCTGTACCTGCAGACTTTGTTGGGCTTGAGTTTGCACTTCCTGTTGTCTGGCTGATTGGCGTCATAGCAGCACTCGTCTTTACACTGATCACTGTAGCCACAGTCACACTCCTCACCCGGCTCCACCAGACCGTTCCCACAGATGGGCTGTCCAGACTCTGTGACACACACACACACACACTCACAGACACAGACACACACATACACACACACACAAAGAGACACACACAACAGACACACACAGGTGTCAGTGCTCCAGCTGAAGATCAGGACTCACTCTCCCATCGCTCTGAGACTCACCTACGAAACAGCTGCCGCGCTTCTTCTCCAGCACCTGGCTGATGTTCTTGACACTGCAGACGGAGAACTTGTTGTTGTTCAGCTTGTCTCCGGATGTGGCTCGAGCGTACATGATGTAGTTCCCTCGCTCCTTCTTATCCTGGCTCTTGGACTCGCCCGGAGTGCACTCCGACCCGGAGTCATGCTGTGGACCATCATCATCATCATTAACATCATCATTATCACAATAATCATTATCACCATCAACCACCACCATCATGATCAACATCATTACCATCACCATTAACATCATCATCACCATCAACCACCACCACCATCATCAACATCATTACCATCATCATCATCACAATAATCATCACCATCAACCACCACCATCATCATTAACATCATCATTATCACAATAATCATCACCATCAACCACCACCATCATCACCATCACCATTAACATCACCACAATAACCATTATCACCACCATCATCACTAGGGGTGGGCAATATACGGTAGACACGATTAACCAGTAGAGATATTGGACTTATCGTCTCTATCGCGGTTAAATGCTCATGTGACATTAATGTGCTTATCGTTTGTATGCGTTTTTAAGCATTGCGGTTTAAAAACAAGTGATTTTAAGTCGTTGAAATGCAATCAGCAGCAAAAGAGAACTCACAAAGCTCTTAAAGTGACAGTAGTCTAATATTCCTGCTCTGTCATTCGTGTTACTCAAACAACACAAGTGAAAATCTCACTCACTGCTCTTGACTAAATCACTTTTGTAACTTTAAAAAGAAATATATATTTCATTTACACAGTGAAGAATATGCAGTGTTTTTATACATTTAATTATTATTATTTTTTTTTTTACAATGTATGTACCAGGGCTGTACGTTAACTTTTTTTTCACATAGCACTGGTGCTACAGAGGTTGAAAGTTTTGTAGCACAGGCCAAAAAGTTGTAGCACACGTATAAAATGTCTGTTCATGTCTGAAAACAAACACAAGTAATGGAGTTCCATCACTTAAATAGGCACTGATGTTCCATACAGAGCACAAAAAATACAAACCATCACAAAAATTGTTTTTGACAAAGTTTTCTTAATTTGCTAAAAATGGAAGAGTTCAGAAACATGACACCTCTTACACCTTAACAAAATATAAAATAAAAAAACAATGGCAGACATTTAGGCAAAGTTAGCAAAGATAAAAATCTTTTTCAGTATTTTATCTTTGTTATTAGAAAATAAGAACATTTTTCAGGTACAGTATTTAGCAGTATTTACAACATTTTATTTTACAGGTACAGTATTTAGCAGGAGCATTCAAGAAATTGAATGAACAAATATTAAAATAAAACACTATATACATCAATTATACTTTTTTTAAAGCAACTGACTGATGATAAGTTCATCAGTCAAGAGCAGCGAGTGATTTTTTTTCTGTTTGGTTGTTTTACTAACATTAAAAGATCATCTGTCTTTCAATAGCGTTTCATTTTTATACCATCATTTACTCAAGTTGTTTTAAACCTGATTCATCGCACAGACCAGTTTTTTTGTAGCACGTGCGACATATATTTCGCACTGTACAGCCCCGTGTACCATTTCTTATTCGTTTATTCTACTGTATTTTTTTTGTCCTGTTGCTTGTAATTAGTTTCTTATTCTTATTTAATCACTGACTTTCTGCTTGTCTTCAGTGAGAGTTTATTTTTTTAATTCAGGCTAGAATTAGTTTTTGTGATATTGACACTGGTGACAAGAATTATGAAATTTCTATGGTGTCATGTTCTATGGTAAATGTTGAAAAACTATATCGTGATATGTATTCTTACTGTGAAAAAATTACTTATATCGCGATATAAGGTTTTGGTCATATTACCCACCCCTAATCATCACCACCACCATCTTCATCATCAATCACTACGATCAACATCATCATCATCTTTAAATCCCTCCACACTTTACACACTGAGATGAATTATAATCTTAATTGTAATTAAATTTACATCAACAGGGTTTCTGCTTGTTTTATGAAGGTACATTTAAAACTTTTTAAAGACCTTTATATATAAAAAAAAAAGGAATAAATTGAATTGAAAACTGTATTTTCAAACTATTGTGTTCTGTCGATCTCCATTACGTTTTTAATCAGTTCACAATAACGGCTTGAATATCTCTGCTCATAAACACTAGAATATGGACATAACTTTTACTGTTCCTTCTGAACAAACTGCAAACAACTGCTGCTCTTCCTCAGTGTTTCCAGTGCCAATATCAAAAGGATGGCGGCATGTTCACACGCTGCGGCTTCTCTCTCTCCCGACAGAAAGCTGTTTTCGTGTTTTTGTCTTGTGAGTCGCAGTGTTTTTGTACGTATTCATCGCGTCTATCTGTCTCTAAGCGCGCATACAGTCGTGAGACAAGGGTCGTCAGAGGCTCTTCAAGACTGATTTAACACCACTTACTGGAATATGTTTAAGCAGGCTGCCACATACAATAACACCACAGCCCTCCAGGAGTACTCGGAGACTGTCACTGCCTACATCACCAAGTGCATTGATGATGTAACAGTCACAAAGACCATCACTGTCCGGGCCAACCAGAAGCCGTGGCTAACAGACATGTGGAAGAATTGACAATAAAGCAGACTTGACTTGACAATGTCTGAAAATACTTACATTAAGATACATTTACTGGAGAAACTAAATTACATAAGATATGTTTTGTTTTATGAAATATTGTAAACCAAGAATAGAGTAAAAAAAAATCAACTTAATTCAAAGAGAAAATAGTTTGACAGATATTTGTTCTTGTTTTAAGCAGAAACTGTTATATTTCTCAAAAAACAAGACTTTATACAGTATGTTCAATTTGCATCTCCAGTAAATGTCTCTTGATTTAAGATGTTTAGATATCTGTACTGAGAAACAAGACAAAAAAAGTCCCTTTTTTTTGTTGTGAAAGCAATTATGCAGCATTTAATGACTTTAGAACTTGAAGACTTAAGACCTTTTTAAGGCATGCAGAAACCCTGAATAAATTCCCTGTCTGTTGTTCTCAGTCAGATCTCCTCATGTCAGAGTGACAGACACTCTGAAATAAGACACATGAAACAGTGATTGCAGCTCTGCTCACTCTGGACCTTCATCAGGGGCGTCAGATCTTCATCCTCACTCACCGGGGAACCGAAGTTGTGTCCGACCTCGTGAGCAAAGGTGATGTGCGAGACTTTGGGAGGCACGTGCGAGGCATAGTTCTGCACCGTGATGATCCCGGTGTTCAGAGACTTCTTCTTCCCGTCAGAATACAGCTTATTCTTCTCGCAGATTCCCCCAGAGCTCCCTGAGAAACACACAGCAGCATCAGCATCAGAGGCCTGACGGAGAAACGCTTCATCTGAGTGCACATCTTTATAATGCAGCAGCGGTTACCAGCTGGAGCGCCGACCCAGGCCAGACCCAGCACGCCGTCGTCAAAGTCCCGGTCGGTGAAGACGTACGCCAGGCAGTAATCATCGTGATTCTGCTCCGAGTTCAGCTCCAGAAACTTCTCCACGCCGATGTTAGCGAAGCGGAAGGGGTTGGAGCGATCGCGCTCGTCGCTGGTGGTGTTAATCTGAGATGAGTCGAGCAACACACGGCTGTTAGGAACCAGCTGCTGTGTCTAAAGCTGGGCTATTAACAACTAAACCATCATTTGTTACTGAAAATATACTATATATATATATTGAAAAACAATTAGTTCAGCTAGTTGCTAATGCAACATTTCTCATTTTCATTTAGTTGATATGGAAGCACATTTTCACCACATAAGAAAAAAATATCATGCTTTGATAAATAATTATGACATGAAAATTTGTAATTATGACATAAACAGTAAAAAAATAACGTCACAATTATGATACAAAGTGTTTGTCATACTTTTGACTTGTCACCAAACATATTTTTTTACTAAAATAAAAACTAAAACTGAAATAAAAATTATTGACATAAAAAAAACCTAATAAAAATAGACACAATTACTAAAATTTTAAAACTGGGAAAATCAAATCCAATTCAAAATTCTTAATGTAATGGTGTTAAAAAGCAGCTTGTGTATAAATATGTTATTATTAGAGATATTATCATTTGTTAAAACCATAAAAATGTATTTAAAATAAAAACTAAAAATACAAATATGAAGAAAAAAAAAAACACCTAATTTCAGCTAGTTGCCAAGGCAACATTTTTAATATTCAGTTTAAGGGAAAAAAATGCTTTGGTGAATGTCATCATTATTGACATTACATGTCATAATTTTTTACATAAAATCTGAAATTATGACACAAAAAGTCAAATAAATGACCTAAGTCATAGTTAGGAAATACAAAATTTAAATTTTTATGTCACAATGATTTAACCAAACATTTGCTTTTTACAAGGGCTTTCATAAAGTATCAAAATAAATAAAAAGTATATAGATATATTTACCTAAAAAAACATACCTACACAACAAAATGACTAAAACTTTAACTGAAATTAAAAAGGAAAACTTAAATTTAAAATATGATTGTTACTATAAGAGTATGTCAGTGATAGAGTAATATCTGTAAGTGTTTTGAGCTCTGCACATGCACTCATTTCATGTGAAATCACCCGTATCCTCTTGACCATGAAGCTGATGTTGCGGATGCCCATGAAGTCTGTGCCCTGGTAGATGGCATCAATGGCCTTGACGTGACTGGAGATCTGCGCGGGACACAGAGCATCAGCATCATCATCATCATCATCATCATCATCATCACTCACTGATCCAGCTGTCTCCGCAGGTCAGGACGCACCTGAGCGATCACGGCCTCTCTGGTCTTGTAGTACTTGTAGAAGAGGTGATCGGTTTGGATGAAGAGCTGGCAGGTGTTCTTCTCCACCTGCGTCATCCTCCTCTTCCTCAGTAAGACGGGGTCATCTGTGGACGTGATCGCCTCCTGAGGGAAACACAGACGCCTCATCACCTGAGAGCCAGCGGTGCTTTCTCTGAACAAACACTGAAGCAGATGTCTGACCTTGCTCGGGTCCTCCAGCGCAGACGCCTGATATCTCTTCATCCGCTCGAACACAGACGAATCCGCGCAGCCGCCTCCCGGCCCGTATCTGTGAGGATAATCTGATCAGGTGACAGAGAGGGACAAGGAAACACCGTCAGAAGCTCAGTGACAAACCCATCAAAGCAGATGGACTTCATCATGATGTGTTACATGAAGACTCGTTATCTGACTCTGAGCAGATCACATGAGTTTAGCTGGGATGCTCAATCCAGTCATAAACACGGACGTTACAATTTAACGTGGAATGTTATGGAATTTGCTAAAGTTTGGATGAATTAATCAAAAGTAGGTCAGTATACTTAAATCGCAATATGGACTAGTGTCTGTGAATATTAGACCACAGAAATACTGTTTAAGTATGAATCCTGTGTTCTGCGTGTCTCTGTGTGAATGAATGACGCAGATGTGCGGTTTCGTTTATTACACACACACTGAAGAGTGTGACGCTCGCTGTGATTTAATTCAAATGGAAAAAATGGAATTTGGGAAAAAAATAAAACTGATTTCATTGGACTCTAGTTTAGGGTTAGTGGTCAGTTAAACAGAAAACATGTGACCGCCAGATACACGACCGACCAATCAGAATCAAGTATTTCAGAGCGACGTGTCAAACAGTTAACTACACTGAAGCTGTTCATAGCACAAAATTATCACAATATATATATCATAGAGGCACAAAAACAACTCGTGTAACAAAACAATTAGACATTTTATAAAAGTCCCAAATATATGAACTAACATTGTCAAGGTGCAATTATTTTGTTACAGTATTCATGAATCTGTTAAAATTAGTACAATACAAAATACAGCTGCTCATTGTTTGTTCATGTCTGAGGTTTATAAAATAATATTACCAGATACATCTTTTGTTTTTAATGATGTATTAGTAAATGTTGAAATGAACGAGCTGTTGTTAATCAGGTCACACCCTGATGAAGATGCAAACTGAGCACAAGAGCCGTTTCTCCTACTGTGTGAGGTGCAGCACAGCTCCTCTGTTGAAGTGTTTCTCAGACAGACGGCTCACTCACGGATGTGGTCCTCGTGGTAGATGACGGAGTGGAACGGGACATTCTTGTCCTGCAGGTATCTCTCGACCGGCTCCACGTAAAACGTCCCTCGATGGGTCTGAATGAAGCCCTCGAACTTCCCGTCCACGACCGAGCCGTGCGTCAGAGAGCCCTGTTCACCTGAGGACAGACGGATCCGGATCAGACGAGAAGAGCCAGATCTCCACTCCACCAGAGAATCACAACACCACAGACAAACACACAAGACCTGCTCATGCTTCTGAGAGAGTCTTTTCTGCTCGCCAAGGCTGCGCTTATGTCATCAAAAATACAGTAGAAATTCAAAATATCTGTGATCAAAACATTATTACTCCAGTCTTCAGTGTCACATGATCTTCAGAAATCATTCTAATATGTGACCCTGGAGCACAAAAGCAGTCTTAAGTCGCTGGGGTATATTTGTAGCAATAGCCAACAATACATTGTATGGGTTAAAATTATTGATTTTTCTTTTATGCCAAAAATCATTAGGATATAAAGTAAAGATCATGTTCCATGAAGATATCTTGTAAATTTCCTACCGTAAATATATCAAAACTGAATTTTTGATTAGTAATATGCATTGCTAAGAACTTCATCTGAACAACTTTAAAGATGATTTTCTCAATATTTAGATTTTTTTGCACCCTCAGATTCCAGATTTTCAAATAGTTGTATCTCAGCCAAATATTGTCCTATCCTAACAAACCATACATCAATGGAAAGATTATTTATTCAGCTTTCAGATTATGCATAAATCTCAATTTCACAAAATTGACCGTTATGACTGGTTTTGTGCTCCAGGGTCACATATGCTGATTTGCTGCTCAAGAAACAGTTCTGATTATTATCAATTTTGAAAACAGTTGTGCTGCACAATATTTTTGTGGAAACTGTGATACATTTTATTTTTCAGGATTCACAGATGAATAGAAAGTTCAGAAGAACAGCATTTATTTGAAATAGAAATCTACTGTAACATTATAAATGTCTTTACTGACACTTTTGATCAATTTATTGCATCCTTGAATTAATGAATGAAAGTAAGGCTGGGCGATATGGCAAAAAAAATCGGTTTGACCGATTCTCGATTTTTATGATTTTTTATGATTTTTTAACTAGTCAACTTGAAAATGAAACTACAACATGATTGAATTAACTTTTTCTTTATTAACCCTCTAGTTAAAGAAAATTCTATTCTAAGTGCAGCACACATGAAGTAAATGTTAAACTAATCACTTGTTAAATATCTCTGCAGAAAAGATGCATAAACTACAACTACATCTTGTACAAATTTGTCTTATACACATCATATATTCAGAAATAATAAGAGGAAAATGCTTTCAAAATTCTCAAGAGTCAAGGTAATTCAAATTCAAAATGACTGAAGGTATAACACCAGTAGACTATTATTAACTATAAATGTTCTGTAAACAGCAGCTTTCAGTCCATCACCATGATGCAAACATGAAATATCAGACATACAGTAGTAGTTCGTTACAGGTTTTTTATTCGCTTGCGCTGCTTTTCCATTGTTTTTTCTGTGTAAACATGGATGTGTTTGACTGTTGCGCTCGCGTCTCATGTATGAAACAGCTTTCTAAAAACACTGCGCTCAAGTTAAGAGAAGTTAATTCCCATCTTCTTGCATGTGTTTGCTATTCCTCTGCCCGCGTCGCGTCTTTATCAACACAAGTGCGTTCTGTGTGAATGGTGTCTAGCGCTATATTCTACTTACGGTCCTTCACTGAGTGCATCACACGTGAGCGGTTCAATCGTTCTTTTCTCTTTACTGTTATTATTGCCATAATGTTAAAGTGTCTAATTCTAACATTTGGTAATATTTCTATTCAAAATCGTGATTCCTCGATTTCTAAAAAATAAAATTTTGGCAAAACATTAAATTTGAATTAATCGATTAAATCTGAAAAATCGCCCAGCCCTAAATGGAAGTATTAATTTATTGTCTTAATCAGTACTGTAAATCCACTGGGACTGATGAAGAATGATCTGGAGTATATCACCGTATATTTCTCCGGTGTAGATGTGCGAGGTGTCGTAGTCCAGCTCCTGTCCAGACATCTCCAGCTTAAAGCCGTCTGAAAACAGCCTGGTGTCTCGCTTCATTCGCAGGCTGAAATGTCTGAGAGATGGAAACACGCAGCAATAAGAGATGAACACACACACACACACACACACACACACACACACACACATCTCATGACGAGAGACAGTCAGGTGAGAAAACCAGAGCTGTACAGGTCCTGATATTACAGCACAGCACTCAAACACTGATGAATCATGCTCCACAGAGGACAAATCTACTGATTTCTATTCAGATACAAAAGCTGTCACTAGGGCGGCACCCTCTCAGAGGTACATCAGTGGACCTTCTTCAGCTCTAAACGGTGCGTTTGGTACCCAAAGGACATATATTACTACTTTTGTAAAGGTACTGCTCAAGCGACTGAAAAACCCAGAGTACAAAAGAAATAGTGTAAAAAATTATTTTATATTACACATGACCAGCCAAATGTCAGCAGTGGTGGGTAATACGGTCTCTCCCTCTGGACACTTTAGCTGAATTGTATATACAGTAACAGAGCTTGTGTGGGACAAGTGGACTTTTTGAAGGGGCAAGTGAAAGAGAATTTTACTTGCCTGACCGGACAACTAATCTGATTAAAACATCTTATTAGGGAAGCACCGAAATTTGTGCGAGAATGATCATCTCTGACTGATAGTGGCTAATCAACTGTAACAAAGGTTGTGCGGTTGAGGCTCACGCAGCCTGTCTGTGTCTGAGAGAATCTCGTGGAGAAATCAAAACAAATTAACATAGAAGAAGCATACTGCTCTAAAATGTAGTTTTTATATTTATAACAGAGCCTAGTTAAGCAACATGACATGACCAAGAGAGTGAAGTTTTCCCTGTAAACCACGACTGCAAATTTGACATCGATTTTATGCAAGAGTTCAAACGAGTAGTTAATATACATTTTAGTACAATGTAGTCAATGTTGACTGTTTTTGCTCGATTTGGTAAACAAAAATTGCTTCAAACAAAGATTACAGTCGCTCATCTCTGAGCAACACACTGGTGTTTTTTAATTAATCATATAAGTCAATGATTCAGTAACCCATTCATAAAGACAGGCTCTTGGTTCATTCTTGAATGAATCAGTCATCTGAACGAATCGTTTGAATGAATCCCTCAATGACTCACTCATTAAGACAGTCACTTGCTGCCACCTACTGGTGCTTTACTTTCATATTTAAAAGTAGCCTATCTTTGCATTTTTTCTAACAATTCATATTTGTATAATAAAAAACACAAGATTTGAAACACCAAGCTCATAACATTATGTTGTTGTAATTTTGCAGTGTAAATGCATTCATGCTACATTTCAGCTGCATTAAACCGTCTGTGTAAATGCATCTAATGCCACTACAGCTGCTTCTGTTTCTTCTGCAGGGGAAAGATCACTTTGGTTAAAGGGGTTATATGATGCGATTTCAATTGTTCCTTTCTCTTTGGTATTTGATTGCTAACAGCCCTATATTATATTAAATAAATTATTCATAAAATATAAGAATTTGATATGAAAAATTATGCATACATTTAATACAATTAGGGGAAAATGCCCTTTGAATAGGCAAAAAAATGACCTGAAAGTCAATTTAAATAAATAATAGTATTCAGTAACTTTGTTTGGAAAACAACTAGCCAGAGTGGATGGTGAGCAAAAAAGTTAATGTCAAACTCTGTATATTACACACACACACACACACACATATATATATATATATATATATATGTATTGTTTTGATGCATGTTTTATGTTTGATGTTTTAACTTCTCAATGCATATATATTTGAATTTTGTAAAATGCTTTGAGATGCAAATTTTAAAAGTGCTATAAAAATAAAGTTTATTATTATTATATTGCTATTATATTGATTTATGAGCCGTTCACGTCATGTGTAAATAATTAGTTTCTCTTATGCCAAGATGGATTCAAAAGTGTTGAAATGCTACATTAATCCATTGTTAAAATCTTCTGGTTCCGGTTGTTCACAAGGTTTAATCTGGATCAGAGGATCGGGATGTGGAAATCCTGTGTTTTGCCATCCAGGATCAGGTAACCCGTCTCACTTCTGTGCCGGTATTTCAAAGCAACATTGGACTGGATCATCCTGATCCAGATACACACTTTTCCAGATTTCCGAATCTGGATTACTAGTGCTCTATGGAGATGCCAGTGTTTTGCATTTACACAAATAACTACTTGTTCTGACTGGTCCATCTCTAAAGATTGTGCCAATGTAGTTTACAATCAGTGATTAAAAAAACAAAACAATTTAATTGAATATAATATAATATTTTTGTTAGATATTGACAGCTGTTTGGGGATATATTACACGTTACAAATGTTGTATTTTTTGTACCAGTTTGATTATATTTTAGTTCCTGAAATCCACCCTTCTGCTGGGATCGGAATAATCCAGTTGTTTTGGACCAAAAGTATCCCAATCTTTCTAAAACGTTTTGAACAACACAACCTGAGGATTTAATCCAGATCAAAAACAAGATTGGATTTTGTGATCTAATCAGAATTCAGAATCCTTTTTTTCTTTTGAACAACCCATTTTGAAGATCTGATGCAATCCGATCAGAAGCGGAGCAGGAAGGACCCCTCACCTGCCGTGAGCGTGGAACTCCAGCTGCAGCTCGCGCTCCTGCAGAGACAGCGCTCTCTTGGCTCTCTGATGCTGACTGTGCAGCAGATCCGTGTCGTACGACAGACCCTCGTAGTGACGGATGTACTTGCTCAGGGGGTTGCCATAGTAACCTGCCAGAACACATGTGACAGTGAGCACGGCTGCGATTGGCCCACGGTGATCACGTGACTCGTGAGAATAAACAAGCTCAGTTCACACGCAACACGTCAGATATTTGCAGCTACAGTGACATTACATGGAATAATAGCACATCAGGGCAAATGTCTGCATGCAACGTCGTGGAGCTGATCACAGGATAATAACTAATACAGCACTGTGGAATATGAAAGGAACACGTTATTAATTTAATCTGATACCAACATGAAGGGAATTCTTACGATTCGTTCTGTCAGTGTAAAGCGTGAGCCGTAGTTCAACATTCAGATTAACTTAAAGCAAAGCGGCGTTATATTCATTCTTGTAATAACACATGTATTATATACGTCTAAAAGCTAATGCCGATACTGATATCTAGAGAGCAGTGCAGCCCAGGGTTATAATCGTAGAAAAACATTTTATTCTAAAACAATAAAAGCCATTTTGTTACTTATAAAATAAATGGAACTAAACTGGAAAAAAAAAAACGTAGTTGCCAAATGATCTAATTTTCATTACGTTTAAGTTGAAGTAATAAAATAGCTAAGACTAAAACTGAAAAAAAATTAAAAAAAAAATCTAGACATAAAAAAATGACAAAAATACACCAAAATTTACTAAAACTTCAAAATCTAAATTCTAAAATTAAAACAAATTCTAAAAAAGACATAAAAAATAAAAATAAAAACAACACAAATTCTACAAATAAATACTAATGAAAATTATAATAGTACAAGAATCATACAAAAACACTGGTGTGACCAGTGAGCATTATATATTACAATATCAATTTTTTTTTTCCTGTGTCTGTTTGCCTCTTAAGAAGAATCGCTTTATGTATCCCCCAATTGTAAGTCGCTTTGGATAAAAGCGTCTGCTAAATGACTAAATGTAAATGTGTAAATGCAATTTGAAATGAGATGAACATATAATTGCTAAAATAATATTTTTACCAAAACTAATTTCTACATTTATTTGACATTGTCAACTCTGTGGCTGATCTCAGATAGTGATCAGTATATGGGTGTATGACTGATAACCTGCTCATCTATGACACAGATATATGATTATTAATATCTGGGTGAGGCCCGATCCATCTGGAGCAGCTCCAGAGATGCTGTGCATTAAACCCATGGAGCTGCTGTAAAACGCAGCTGTCATTACTGAGAGATAGCGTTATATACTGTATATTAATCATCAGCAGCTGATGAAGGCTGATGAAGGTGTTTATGGGAATGATGAGAATCGTGGAGTCTCCTCCATCATCATCATCATCATCTGAAGCTGGATGTGTGTTAGCTCCTGTCTCAGCCCAGGCTCTTCTGACACACTTCAGCTCAGAGAAGCGTTCCGGACCGAATCCGCCGCGAACATCGACGGGAACCGGCGGATTTGCGGGAATAACGGAATAATGGTCGAGTTAGCGTTAGCATTAGCAGCGCTGCTATCGCGCAGCATCACCTAATCAGAGCCGAACCGCTCCAAACACACACTCACACTCACCTCGAGCGGACCTGAGGGAGCACAGGAGCCACAGCAGCACCGACAACACGGCCGTCATCGCGGACAAACGCATCTTTAGCGCATGGACGATGGACGGGGTTGGGTTTTATTGTTTACAGCTTCAGTCTAGGTTTGGGGGGCTTTGCGTGCTGACGTCAGACGCACAGAGAGCGTCAGCGAGCCCCTCCTCCACGCATTTATTCCGCAAGCGCAAGATTTACAGCAAAGACTGAGTGCTAACTGAGTAAAAATGCATTAACAAACATATTTGCAATATTTTCCAAAAACAAAATGAAATATCTCCTAGAGGGATTGTTTTGTAACTCTATAATTGAGAATTGCTGTTTAATTCCTTTTAAATACTGCATTAATAATACAATACAATACAATACAATAATACAATACTACATTTCATAATTCTACATACCATGTACCCTTCTGATTAATTAATATGAAGATTCACTGATAGTGATGATGCATGCTGTTTGTGTAATGCTGAGAAAGTGATGCCGTGTCTTATTTTCTGACTGTAAGTCCTAAACAGGTTTTAGATGGATTTGGCAGAGTTTATATTTAGTTTAATGAATATGAATTATTGCTTTAATTTAAAGGATGTTATCTTGTATTGTGAAAACAAAAGCAATAAAGATCTAGAATTTATTGTTAGCCTTTTTATTTTATTGGCAACATTTCAAACACATAAACAAAAATGCCTATGTTCAGTTAGTTTTGTTCTGATTTTGACTTTTATATTTCTTCAGTAAGACGAATGTTTAAGATACTATGACACAATCTTCAATCCCCCGGTATTTTATAATATCTTTATTTGTTAAAATTGAATGTGAGCTATGTTTTTTGTTTTTTTTTGGTTCTAATTTGTTTATAATTTGTATTGTTATTATTTTATATGTTCGTCCAATAATAAAAAGACTGAGTGATGCTTTAGATCAGACTCAGATTCAGAAGTGCATTCCTTTTACCACAAGCTGACTAAAATTGGAAGCGTTTAATTTTTCTTGATGACTTCTTACAGTAATAACATACAGTGAAGAATTATGATTATAAGCAATAACAGGAAGATGCAAGTCAATACTGGTAAGCTAAATTAAGGTAAGAAACAAGAATAATACCAACAAACACTAGTTATATGATGTGAGAGCTGAATTAGTCTCCAAAAAATATGTTCCCAACAGCAGAATATTGATTTTAAAGCAGAGTTTTCCCTGTGCACCTGAACCAGATTTGGGTTTTTGGGATCTGCACAGATTTCTGTATTTGTAAGAAACAAACCCCAAACTGCTGAGTAATAACTGAAGCAGCTGTGGTGGTCAGCTGAACACGTTTTAATGAAAAATAGTTTAATTGTACTAAATGTTAAGCAGATTTTTGGGGGGGATTACAGTCTTGGATAAATAATTAACAATGGCATTAATTTTGATGCACTTTTTTGTGCAGTGTCAGATTTGTACACACATATAAACCACACTCATATCCATACCAGCACACAATTATAATGACAAACTCTCAATCTAACTGCACTTTTGTTTTCTTCAGCAGAAGCAGAGCGTTGCTCCGTGGGCCAAACCTGAGGAAACTGTGCCATCAAGTGGAGAAATAGTACAAGTCCTCGCCTTGGAATTATGAGGTTCTATCTGACATTCACACATTCTTATTCTGTGACAGCTTATTTACACTATGTGATGTTTCTTTTGTAAGCTGTGTACATTTTGGGACTTTTTTTTTTAGAAAACAAAAAGGGTTCTGTCTACAGAAGTCTATGGAATGCCAAAACTTTGAAGTTTTACATGTACCTTACTGAGCTCTAGGACAGCCTGAATGTTTTAGTTTCATGGTTTTCTGCGCTGTCAGAAATACTGGTTAACCTATGGTTTTTGTTTGTTTGTTTTGTTTTTCTTGATATTTTGTATCTTATTTAGAGTCATGAACATGTCCTTTTTGTTTTTATACAATATGCAGAGTGTGAATATGATCAGCTGGTCACTTTGTTTATCGGGACTTTTAACAAGTGCACTAAATGTGGCATGTCAAGGTGCAATACTATATCTGCTCACTAATCACTGCTGACACTTACTCCATTCAGTTTCTACTTTCTGTTACTGGTTGATATCAGTGTAGAGGTCAATGTGCAGCTCTGTCGAAGCTCTCTGGACTCAGATTGATCAGTGTGCATGCAATATTATAACCCGCTCACTTGTTGTATACTTTTATAGTTGTTCTGTACAGTCCAGTCTTATTTATTGTCTGTGGTTATATGTTTGTTTTCTAAGAGCAGTCAGGAGCAGTGCTCCTCATTTCATTGTAAACAGAAAAATACAGTGACAGTAAAGGCTTTCAATAGATTTGAGTTCAGTATCTGTCGCTGTTTCTCCAGCAGACACTGGGTGGCGCTGCTCTCACACTCACTGTGATGCTCTGTGGGTTTGACAAGACCTTTAACTTTTCATATTTAAAACAGACCAGTATCTATTTACATGCTACTAGAACTTATTGTTTTAGACACTAGAATCTGTTTGATTAGCTACTAGTGTTTATTATTTAGGTAATAGTATCCTTTATAAAGATACTAGCACTTATTCTTTAGATACTACAGTACTTCTTGTTTATTAGATACCAGTACTTATTACAATAGTGACTAACATTTAATTATACTTATTAGGAAAAACTAGAACCTGGTTCTTATATTTTAGTTAGGCTTATAGTACCTTTTTAAACAAGGATATCATGAACTCAATACCAGTGCTTTTTAAATGCACATTTCTGCTCGGTATGATAATAATATGTTGAATATCAATAAATGTTTTTTTAAGGAGCTCTTGGTACATACATGCATACATACATATCTGACATGAGAACAGAAAGGATTAAATAAGTAAGACTAAAATAATAATAATAATAAAGTGGTATGAAATCTGGAACAGAAGATTTATGTACAGATTTGTGCATTATCTACTCTATATATTCAGCTGTATAAATAAAAATATACATATGTATTTACATAGTACTTGAGAGAGAGGCAATAGCTAGAAATGGAGAAATGAATGACAGAAAACAGGTAATCATTTCTGTGTTAGTTGTTTAAGATGGAGATGACACTGTTTTCATGATGTTCTAGTGCACAGAGATCTGTAGCGTCTGCTTTTTAAAACATGTAATACATTTAGAGTAAGATTCCCTTTTAGGTGTTTGGTTAGGTTAGGTGGGTCATTCCTGGGATTCGGTAACATTTTAACTTGGAATATACATATTTTCAAACGACATGTTATTCAACTTCTAAATACCCCACATCTTTAGGCACATCTCAAACCTCCAAAAAAATCATATTTCCCACCTCAGGCATTAAAGACCTTATATTATTTTCATTTTTTTCAGATTTAGACACCTTTTACTCTCAACCCTGTAACGGACAAAATGAGATTAGTTTAAAAAGGATTTTACACAGAACTTGTTATAAAACAAACATGTACCTACTGCTCATGTGTCCCTGATAACAGTTTAATGATAACAAATGAAACCTTTATCATAATTTTCACATTTTTATACAGAAATTGTGTGTCTACGGTCTCTTTGTTTTTGTAAAAAAAAAAAAAGTAATTTAATAACTATTCCATCATGCAAATACTTTGTAGTTATTTCAAGAGTCAGTACTGCTAATAAATCATTCCTCTTATGGACTACACTTCCATTCAGAAATAAGTATTTTTGAAGGCTGCATTTACTTAAAATAGTCATATTAATATAAATAGTAATAACACATTCTGTCTTCTCACCTTTTTAGTTTACCAAACCAAGATTTACTGGCTCTCACATTGCTGCAGCAAAGCCAAATCTTAGTGTGGCCAGGAAACATTCTCAGGTTGAAGACCAGCCCAGCGCAGCAGTGTCTAGTGCCTCTATGTGGTCTGTGTGTAGTGTATCTATAGTGATCAGGACGACTAGACGAGCTCCAGAGACAGATCCCCAGTAAAGACCTTGTCTCAGACGGCCACCGGGACAAGACCACAGGAGCCAGTTGAGTCCTCTGCACAATGTGACTTTGCTGCAGCCTGGAACTGAACTGCTGGTTTCGTCTGGTCAGAGGAGAACTGGCCCCCCGACTGAGCCTGGTTTCTCCCAAGGTTTTTTCTCCATTCTGTCACCGATGGAGTTTTGGTTCCTCTGGCTTGCTTAGTTGGGGACACTTCATTTCCAGCGATATCGTTGACTTGATTGCACAGATACTATTTAAACTGAACTGAGCTGAACGATGACATCACTGAATTCAATGATGAACTGCCTTTAACTGAAAACTGAGTGTTTACTATTGTCATTTTGCATTATTGACACTATTTTCCTAATTAATGCTGTTCAGTTGCTTTGACACAATCTGTATTGTTAAAAGCGCTATATAAGTAAAGGTGACTTGACTTGACTATATACCAAGCACCAAGCACCACTGTCTCTGTAAGTAATATCATAATCTACATTATTTTATGAAGACACATTCCATGTTCCATTCTATCCAAATTAAACTTTTTAAAATATTTGATACCAAAAAAACATTTTAATAAGGAAAAAAAATCAATATTATATCAATAGATTTAATGCAAACTACCATTCAAAAGTTGTCAGTAAGTTTTTTTTTTTGTTTGTTTTTTTTAAGATATTGGTACTTTTATTGAGAGAGGCATTCAATTGATTAAAAATCTCAGTAAAGACATTTAATGCTACAAAAGATTTCTGTTCAACATGATATTACAAAGGATTTCTATTTGGAATAAATGCTGTTCTTCTAACTTAATTCTGAAAAATACCACTGTCACATTTATGAACTGTTGTATTTACACATGTTCCTTGACCTAGTTTCTGTCTCCCCTCGATTATTCAGTTCACCTGTTTCTAATTAATTTACTCATTCGTCCCTCATTGGTCTGTCTACTTAAGTTCTAGTTTGTTCAGTTTGTCTTGGTCCGTGTGTTACTGCCTTCCTCTGTGTGGATTAATTAAAGACTATTTAGCCTTTATTTTCATCTTTGTGCACTCTTTAACACAAGCGTGATGACCACTCTAATGCAGTTTTATTAAGTATCTGCCATTTTCACGTTTTCAACTAATAGTAATGAATGTTTGTTCAATAGAATGGTTTCTGAAGGATCATGTAACACTGAAGACTGGAGTAATGAT